ATTACATAATTTGGAATTTTAAAAATTAATCTGAAAACAATAGAATTGCGATGTATTATTGGAGTTACTGGACTTTAGGTAGATTTTTTTTTTGTAATTACTTAATATAAATTGAAATACATCAGGAATTAATTTGGAATTATAGGAATTTATCTGAAAACATAGATTATTTTAGATTACTAGAATTTCAGTGAAATTTTTTTGGAATCGGAATTAGTACACATTTTTTTTTAAGGTAACGACCCCTCGATCTTTACTGTTTACTTTTGATTTCAAAAAAAATAAATAAATAAATAACAGGACAATCATGAACGAAATAAAATTATAATCCTAATAATAAACGACAAAATATAAATTTTTCAATTGTCGAACATTATTAATTTAAAAAACATTCAATCATACTTTATTTTTTTTCTATTCACTGTTTAAGCATTTGAGGAAAAACCTTGAGTAATCAATCATTAAAAAACATTTTCTTGTATTTTGAATATAATTTAACAATACATAATGGTTTACCCTGCGTTAAAAAACGACCAAAGTTTCAAACTTTGCCCTCTAAACACATTCCTTCATTGTTTTAGTAAATAAATGAGTTGAAATAGTTTTGGGAAAGTTTCAATTTCCTCACCTGTCTTGTTATAACCACACAAACATAAATTTTACGGTAATAATTAGTTCAAAAAACCCGTCAACACCCAACGTGAGTTTTCTCAAAACTCGTGCGGGTGTCAAGTGGTGGTATAAATGTCCATTAAAAAAAAATATACCAGGTTCGCGGTCTCAGCAGTTACATATTCATGATGTGTGTTCCACACACGCGTACACTCAGACCCATACGGGTCACAGGAAACCCGACGAGGCAACTTGCAAGTGTTAACAAAGGTTAAATATTTGTACCCTATGTTTTTAGTAGAATACGACAACACTCACATTTTCATTAAACTACGAAACGACGAATTTGTTTCTTTGAAAATAACTAAAGCAGAACGTTTGTCAAGGTCGCAAGAAGAATATCATCGAACAACTAGGAAAAATCTATCACTTTTATGTGGTTTCCGTAGCACATCATAAAATTGTACACTAGTGTTGACGTTTACAAACTTTTATCTACAGAGTGTTCCGTCTAAACCCCACATTAGAAGTATTGGGAGTTGGAATAATCGAATTTATTTGAAAATTGGCACATAGCCATAAACCATTAAGTCCTCCTAAATGAAAATATTTTCAAGATGGCGGCACTTCCGGTTATACCGGAAGTCGGTTTCAACTTTCTTATTTTTAATGGAAAGGTATATTTTTTACTGCGTTTTTGGATTAATCGGATTATTTTAAGGGAGTTTTCATCAGCTTTCCCTATACCTAAATTTAGCCGTTTTTGAAATATTTGGAGTTTTTCAAAATTTTTTGGATCTGCACCTTCCACTTTAAAAATCGGTAACTCTGCCATTTTTTAAGATTTTGAATTCGTTTTTTTGGCGTTTGAAAGAGAAAGCTTAGATCCTTTTTCTGGTGTTTTCAAATTTTGAAAAAAAATAACATCCCAAAATTTTAAGGTTACTTTTGTAATAATTCAAATACTCATAACTCAATTTTTTCAAATAAAATACCCCAATTTTTATTTTACTAAATAGAAGAGAATTTACTTGTGCATTGATCTGTATTAACATTCCCTATACCTAAATTTAATAATTTTCAAGTTATGGACTTTTTTTAAGACTACAGAAAATTTATTACTAGCCACACCCGTTTTCACATTGTTTGCTATAGAAATCAAAAATGTCAAAATTTTCTCTAAACAAACGTCAACAGTAAATTACTATTTGACAAATAGTGCCAAAATATGAAGAATCAAAGTTATGCAAACTTAATTATTATTGATAGGTTCTACCATGCGATCATTATTTAAAGCTAACAAGTAAGAAAAAATTTATTTTTGTTTAATGAACGACATCATAATTTTGTTACACTCTCCATAAATACAAAATAAATTAATTAAATCTAAGTTTGAGTAGCTTTGACTCTCCATATTTTGGCACTATTTGTCAAATAATAAGTCACTGTCGACGTTTATTGAAAAACAATTTTGACATTTTTGATTTCCATAGCAAACTATGCGAAAAGAATAGATTTTCGGCAGTTTTAACAAAAAGTTACCATAATTTAAAAATTATTAAATTTTGTTATAGAAAATGGTTAATACAGATCGATGCAGAATTAAATTCTCTTCCATTTAGTAAAATAAAAATTTGGGTATTTCATTTGGAAAAATTGAGTTATGGGTATTTGAATTATTACAAAAGTAACCTTAAAATTTTAGGGTTTGTTAATTTTTTTTTCAAAATATGATAACACCAAACGAAAGATCTAAGCTTTCTCTTTGAAACGCCAAAAAAACGAATTCAAAATTTTAAAAAATAGCAGAATTACCGATTTTTAAAGTGGAAGGTGCAGATCCAAAATTTTTTGAAAAACTCCAAATATTTCAAAAACGGTTAAATTTGGGTATAGGGAAAGCTGATGAAAACTCCCTTAAAATAACCCGATTAATCCAAAAACGCAGTAAAAAATATAGCTTTCCATTTAAAATAAGAAAGTTGAGACCGACTTCCGGTATAACCGGAAGTGCCGCCATTTTAAAAATATTTTCATTTAGGAGGACTTAATGCATTATGGCTATGTACCAATTTTCAAACAAATATGATTATTCGAACTCCCAATACTTTTAAAGTGGGGTTTAAAAGGAACACCCTGTATAATGTTCGATAATTTTAAACGTCAGGCTTGTTTTAGACATACAGAAACGTTAAAATTTAAGTGTGCTATATAATTTGAACACATGTTACATTTAAACCGAAACCATTTTATTTACTGACCAAAAATGTAAAAAAAGCCTTCCATTTCCATTAATTCAAATAAAACTTGGTTTTCCCAAAATATTGTTACACTTTATTCAATGAATCATTCTTATTCATTCACCACGTCACAAGTATAGTAAACAAATTATTTACCAACACAACGAAAAGAAAGAATTGTGTGCGAGAATTAATATTGCAGTTTGGTGATTT